TTGCACCCTCGCCACGTTGCGGGCCGCGGCACAGAGTCTTGGGATAGGTAAGTCGGGTGGTAAGGCGACAGTTCTTAAGAGGATCAAGGAGTTTCTTGCGCGAAACGATTTTCTGTGGGCCAACCTTCCGGCTGATGTGCAGCTGCCTCGTGAGCAGGCGCCAGTGCGAGAGCCATCCCAGGATGAAGTGCGCAAGCATTCGCTGACGCACATGCCATTCCAAGCATGGTGCGCTGAATGTGTTCAGCATCGTGCCCGTTCTGATAGACATGAGAGGCACCCTGTTGGCGACCGTGAGCATGCAACAATTTGTTTTGATTTTGCTTACACGAGTCGGCCTGAGACCCCTGAACAGAAGCTCGTGTGCCTAGTTGCGTCTTGCAATTTTACCGGTGCAAATCAAGCTTGGCCTGTTCCGGCCAAGGGCGGCAATCTGCAGCTCAGGTACATGACATCAGAGCTTACAAGGTGGATCGCGACTTTAGGCCACAGCGAGGTCACGCTGCGCAGTGACCCAGAGCCAGTGTGTTTGTCGTTGCAAAAGCTTGTGCAAGCCCAGCGTCTTCGACTTGGGTTGCGGACCCATCTTGAGCAGAGTGAGCCTGATGATCATGCGGCCAATGCGGCCGAACCTGCGGTCGAGACCCTTCGACAGCTGACCAACACGTTGCTTTCTGAGTTTGAGTCCCGTGCAGGTGTCAAGGTGGCATCGTTGGATGCAATGCACGCATGGGCATGGCGGCATGCAAGTTTCATTCAGCAGCGGTTCACCAGATCGCAAGGCCAGACTCCGTTCGAGCTGGCATGTGGGCGGCCCTATCAGGGCAAGCTTGTGTGCATTGGTGAGACAGTTTATGGAAGAGTTAAAAGTGCTGTGAAGGGACAACCCCGATGGGGCATAGGCTTGTGGTTGGGAAAACTTGGGTGTAGCGACGGCCACATAGTCTTCACTGCTTCGGGACATTTTCTTGCTTGCAGGTCGATTCGTCGCTTACCACAAACTTACTTGAGGAGTGCTGATTTTGCCAAGCGCCTGCGTGATCATCCCTATTCCCAGGCAGCTTTTCTTGCGGGCCAAGTTGGACAGTGCAGGCCGCAGAAAACACGTGATGCACAACAAGCACCTCCAGAGTCACAGCCAGATGAAAGTGTCCCGGCCGGTGCGGATCCACTTCCGTACCCTGGCTATGTTCTCCCTGACAATGCACCGCTGAGTGAACTTGTGCCACCACCAGCCATCAGAAGTGATTTTGTGCCAGAGCCACCGACGCCCATGCAGGAGGACAGTGGACCTGTCACGCCATTGCAGCCAGCACCTTCCGATGCAGAGGTTGTGAGTTCGCCTCTGGCTGTAGTGCCGGACGCTGAGGTGTTAGCCGAGGGGCCAAATGCTGATCGTGCCACGGGATCGTCCGATCCTGCTTCTTCGTCTGAGCCAGCGGCTGTACGTGTGCCTACTAGGGCTGCTGAGCCGAGTGCAAACGAGCCACGCAAGCGGCTTCGTCTTGACGCTGTGACGTTTGAAGGTGTCGACATGTACCACAACCACGAGGAGAATTATTTTGAATTTGAGGGTGAAATTTTGGAGGATTTTGATTATGCCGCGGAGGCCGATGGGGCCCATGATGACACGCGGCCGGAGTCAAGCATTCCTGAGTGCTTGTTGATCCCTTGGAGTGAGCATGAGCCAGAGCTGAGCGCTGAGCAGCTTGCACATGTAGATGCAGTTGCAATGCAGTTTGAGGTTGATCGTCTCCTTGGGATCCCTGCTCTTGAGCGTTGCGCACAGATCCTGCCAGAGCACAAGCACTTGACCACTCGTTTTGTGGTAACGTGGCGCTGCAAGACCATTGCAGGTTGCACATACTGGCTCCGGCGAGCCAGGCTTGTGGCACGTGATTTTGCATTTTTGTGCCCAGGCCGTACCGATCTGTTTTCCCCTGCATCGAATGCTTTGCAAAGCAAGATCATCCCATGTGTCTTCATTGACAACTACCATAACGGTTGGCAGTTGGTATCATTAGATGTTACGGATGCTTACTTGAATTGCCCGCAGGCAGAGGACACATGCACAAGTGTCATGATCAATGGTGAACGCTTGTATTTCAAGCTTCTCAGGCTCCTTCCGGGCCAGCGGGAAGGGAGCCAGACCTGGTTCTACCAGTTCACCGATGCGCTGAAAGTCGGAAGCCGTGTCGAGCTGATGCAAGAGGTGCCATCGCTGTTCCGGTTCCAGCCTGAGGACGGCGGAGGCGGGGGACTTGTGCACGTCGATGATTTGCTTGGCACAGGACCCGCAAGTGTGATCAAGTGCATGACCGATCATCTTGAAAGGGATTACAAAGTGACTGTGAATTTGATTTCGGTGCCAGGCCAAGAGGTTCATTTTCTTAAGAAGCGGCATTATCTTTTGTCGAGCACAGAGTTGCTGATTGAGGTGAGCCCAAAACACTTGGAAAAGTTGAAATCTTTGTGCGGCCATCCCAAGCACCGAAAATCACCTCTCCCGTCCGGGCGGTTGCCCACGGAGAAGGAGGACGATGCACCATTGTCCCAGGATCAGGCATTTCGCTTTCGATCAGCCGTTGGAGTGTTGCTTTACCTGCAATCAGACCTCCCGCATGCTATGCACAGCATCCGCCACTTGTCAGGCTTTATGTCGTCCCCGACCGTTGGGGCATGGGCAATCCTGCGGCATTTGGTCGGTTACTTGAGTGCCACTGAAGGGTACTGTGCATGCCTTACGGCCGGAGGCATCGGACACGGTGTGCAAGTGCATCGCCCAGGGATCAATGTCATCGAGACGTTTAGTGATGCTGACTGGGGTGGATGCCGATCCACCCGACGCTCTGTCTCGTCGTCTGTGATTCTTTGCAACAGCAAGTTTATCCATGCAGCGTCCAAAACGCAAAAGTCGATCGCACTCTCCAGTGCGGAATCCGAGTTTGGTGCCGCGGTGTCAGCCGCGATAGATGGAACCCTTGTTGCAAGCATGATGCGGTTTGTGTCTCCAGAGCCAACGACACCACCACTCTTGATGATTGACAATTCCGCTGCCCGCGCGATCCTTCAACGCGCCGGGGTCGGGCGTGTGCGCCATCTTGATGTGAAGTTGCTATGGACGCAACAACGGGTTGCGGAAGGATTGCTGGAGGTGCTGCCGGCACCCACGCGAACCAATGTCGCGGACATTGGCACGAAGCTCCTTGGCGTGCAGCGCACGGAGTTTCTGCTTGGCCTGATTGGGTTTAGAGATTCCCGAAATGGTTATGCTAGGGTTGGAGATGCAATCTTGAGCACAGAACACAATGTCCAGGCCATTCGCAATGTGTGCAAGGATCTGTCAAAGATCGCAAAGGGTGATGCCACGGCAAACACCGCCCGCATCCTTAGTGTTATCTTGATTGCCATGCAGGCAACTGGAAGCCTGGGTGCAGAGGATGGCGATGATGCCAAAGACGACGACGCGACTTTGACCATTCTTGATGCGATTCTTGAATCCTTGGTGCAGATCGTCGGCTATGCATCTGCAGTGTATGAAGCATACCCTTCAACATGTGTTGCGGTGTGCCAGTGCGTTGCAATCACTGCATTCTTGATGTGTGCATTCATGTGTTGTGGCCGACGGATGACAGATGTTCCAGAAGCATCTGTGCAGGTGCGCATCGCGTCTGGAGTTGCGGTTGATGTCCGAACATCCCGAAGTGAGCCCAAAGCCAAGGCTGGTGAGCAAGTGCGTGGAGCGCGGCCCAAAACCGCGAGTCGACCGAAGATTGAGGACGATGATGAGCGAGCCCAGAGCCCTGGTGCGCACGAGGTCCATGCAGGCAGACCAGGGTCATCCAACGATGTGCTGAGATCGAACAGCGAGGCCAGTGGGAGATCCGAGAGGATTCCGAAAGCACGCCCGATTCCGCAGCGCCGGGTGCCACAAGCCCGAAGCGCAGACGGCGTGTGGATTTCGACAAGTCAAGGATATGCTTATCATAAGGCTACATGTGGCAAGCTGAACCAGTCGCTTGGCGTCACCGAGGTGTCGCGGGCAGTTGCCGAGGAGCGCGGCTACCGCGCGTGCCGCATATGCAAACCTTGATGGGTGTGCCGAGTTTCTTGTGATGCTGCGTCGTACGCTTGATCTTGCTTTATAATGCTCATGAGGCACATTGGATGCCATGTACATAGTCAGTCCTTTGTGCCACGGCGCAATTGATTGACAGGCTGCTGGTGGATCCTGTACATAGCTTGACAACGTGCGATGGACGGCTTGAAATCACTTGAATCTTGATATGCAGCATTTTGCTGCCAATCTGAGCAATGCCACAATCCCTTGAGCCGTGGAGCGGCTCTCAGCTGCGGAGGTGCGTTTGGCACCCATTGGCGGTAACTAGGCCGTCATTGACTTTTCGACTGGGCGCGAGAGCGCATGATCCATCATGAATCCGCCCTTTGTCTTGACAACTTGCGAGGGCGTCCGCTTGCGCCAGTCAAGCATGCAGTTGTGTCTTCGGCTTAAGGTCGTGGATACAACTCCGTAGGCAGTGTAGTGTACAGTCTACACGTAGTTGCGTAGCACTCGAGCTAAGCCTTGAGCCGGCTAAATCAAGCCCAATACGCTAGTAAGAACATGTGCACTTGGAGCGTGTTTAAAACGTCGTACAAGCTGTTGTTTTATACTTTGGGAATCGTTCACGAACAGTCTGCCCATTCGCCAATGGAACAGCCTGAGGCGGGGTACGAACGATTTTCCGTATTCGTTGGCATGGTTTTACATTGATTTTATCATGCATTTTACTTTCGCTCTTGTAGTCGTGCACATGCGGATTCTGAGATACCTGAAGGCTTTTGTTGCTCGAGGATAGTGGAAAAGTTCGTAACATAGGAACGCCCCACACCTTTGGTGAGCCCAGGCTACGGTATATTTACTTGCAGCGCCTTTTTGACTCAAGCAGGAAAAGCGTGACCGCTCAGGGTTTTACAGTTTAACTGATCAGCGGAGTGCGATGGAGGTTGAGGCCAACCGCGGTGAGAAGCGTGAAGCCGCACCATTGCCGGATGCAGGTGGAAAGAGTTCGAAGATTTCAGCAGTGACGGTGGAAGGAGAAGAATTGTACGTGCTAGATGAACATCTAGATCTTGATTTTCCTGTCGACGAGGAGATGAACTCCTACTTTGAAGATGACGACGTCGAGGACTATGGAGAATCGTGGCATGGAAGAGGTGAGAAAGAGGGACCACCAAGTCTGAGTGAAGAGGAGCTTGAGAAAGTAGATGAAGCCTCTCAGGCCCATGAAGTCAAGAGATTGGTGGAAATGGGGGTGTTGGAACAAGTTGAGGCTTTGCCCCCAGGAGCGGAGTTGTTGAAGACAAAACATGTCATTGATTGGCGCTTTCGTGAAGGTCAGTGGCAAAGAAGGGCACGGCTGGTATGTAAACAACTGAAGATCTGGGATCCAAACAGGAGTGATGTGTACGCGCCCAGCACCAGCCCTTCATCATCAAAGCTGCTGCCAGCGTTGATGGTGTCCAGGAGCTCGTGGAAGCTTCAATCGTTCGACGTTAAGGACGCATTTCTCACAGTCAAGCAGGGCGATGAGCTCTATGTTCTTCTTGACGGAGTTCCATTCAGGGTGCTTCGGTGTTTGCCAGGACAGCAATCGGCCTCAGCATGGTGGTCAGAGCAGGCAACCGAGGATTTGAAGGAGGCCGGCTTGGTTCCAGATGCGGCTTGTCCATCTGCGTTTGGGACTAAAGGACTTGGTGTAATGATGCACGTGGATGACGGACTCAATGCAGGAGAAGATTGGATCCTGGAGAAGGTCAAGGTCCTTCTTATGCAGAAGTACAAGCTTGAGGTCTCAGACGTGGCGTTTGATGTAGGCGAGTCGGTTAAGTTCTTGAAGAAGGAGTTTGTGATAACTGACTTGGGTGTTGAGGTCAGGGTGAGTGGCCGGTACTTGGAGAAGATTTTCGGCATTCTTGACATCAAGAGGCCTAGAGTCCTAGAGCTAGGAAAACCCCGTGTTCAGTGGAGATCACTCAGCCTGACTACTCGGAGGAGTGTGATGGCGAAATGGCCGCGAAGTATCGTGGAGCCATAGGCGGTTTCCTTTATCTTTCACCAGATCGTCCCGATTGTCAGTGGGCCATCGCGCACCTCGCGAGGGCGATGAGTCGTCCTACGGTGAAGATGTTCAAGCATGCAATCCACTTAGCAGAGTACATGATGAGCACAAAAGATGCATGCCAAGTGTTTCGCTGGACGTATCCCGGAAGGTCATGCCTAGATGATCGAGTTCTTTCGCGAAGCGAGGCCAGGGTTCTTCAGGAGCAGCACAAGGGAGATGCGGATCTAGTCGAGTCGGTCAGTGACTCCGACTGGGCGGGACACTTTGACAGGGTGTCTTCGTCGTGCGGTCATGTGTGGGTGAATGGGAATGCAGTGTACTGCTTCGTGAGAAAGCAAGGCGCAATCTCCCTAAGCTCGTGCGAAGCCGAACTGATCGCCTGTTGTTCAACCGCGGCGGAGGCGATCTACATCAAGCACATTGTTCAGACATTGAGCAGTGCCCCATCTCGCTTGCTTTGTAGGCTTGACAGTTCCAGTGCTCGGTCGTTGTTGCAGAAGAAGGGAGTTTCCAGAGTGCGGCATTTGGATACGAAGCTTTTGTGGCTCCAACGGATGGCCAACAACAAGGAGGCTGAGTTTGCAGCAATCAGCACACATGTCAACACGAGTGACATAGGAACGAAGGTTCTGAGTGCAGAGCGTTATCATTTCCTGATGTGCAGACTCGGCTACAAGGGTTTCGTGAGTTCTTTGAGGGATCACAAAAAGTACGATCAGATTCACTCGAAGGTTCTTCGTCTGCTGATGGTGATGGACTCCATGCGGGTGGCTGCGGGCTCTAGTGTTACGGTGGAGGAGAACGAATTCCGTGGACTTCACATCGAAAGCGTCTTGAGCATCCATCTTCCAGCATGGGGTGTGGTGGCCGTGATTGTCATCGTGATCCTTGCATTCGTGAGCGTGATCGCAATGTTTGGTGGATGGTGCAGCCGGAAAGAAGATCATGAGCATCAGCAGGGGAGCGGAGAGCATCAGGATGAAGATGAAGGTGAAGAACACAATGACGATGGTGATGACGGTGGCGTGCCGTTGCTCGAACAAGAACAACCAGGAGAACAACCACAGCAACAGCAGGAACAGCAGCAATATGGACCACTTACGTTGGAAGGGGCGATTGCGGAGTTTTATCGTCGTGAGCTTAACTTGGATGGTAATCCACATCATGCTGTACATGAGCAACATGTTCGCAATCCAGTTCGGCATGATTGGAGGGCGAATTTTCCTGATTTGCGTTATTGTCCGGGGCATGGGCAAGTGTATCATGTTCCTCAGTGCGGATGCTTGAAGGCATCAAGAAGAATCGCCCGATACACGATGATTGATCATGAGAGGCTGCATCTTGCAGCATGTGGCCAGTGCAATCCTGCTGTACTTCCCGGCTCCAATCCCCCTGTGCAGAGAAGAAGAAGAACAATGTTGACGCGCGGATGATCTTGTACATGATCGTCTCAGCGAGCTGTGAGTGCTTTCATCCGTGACGGGGATAAGCGCGTAGTAACTTTTCGGTGTGTGAAGGTGTTTGAACGCTTTGTGTGTCTAACTTTTCCATCTCGGAGAGATGAAGCAAAGGGATGCATTCTAGATGTTGTTATGTGAGTCAGTAGCGCTCATATGACATGTTGATTTTCGTGGAAGGGCAAAGCTCAAGTGTCCAACACATATGTCCGTGTGTAAATTTGTTTGAGCAGTATGGCATAGTGACCATACGACTTTTGACGACAGTCTTCGAGCAATGCTGCGAAGCCTGAGGAGGGGTGCTAAATGTATATTTTCTCCTAGGCCCCCTGTTTTACACATGGTTTTCTCATGCATGAACTCATGCATAACAGTTGCAACGACTGACGCTCGCAGGCGCTTTTGTGGAGCTTAAAAGTTTGTCACAGTGTGTGGATGGAAGTCGCAATTCAAGCTCTGGGAACTTGACCAACGTGGCTTCAACGTTTCCCCTTTGGTTTTGCAAACTCGTCGAGGCGTGCAAGTGCCCACGCTCGCACACTTTCCACTCACACACTAGGTTGCTAAGCAAAGTGCGGCTACACAGAAGGCCAACTTCCAGGGCTTTGAGTCGAGAACGGACCACATAAGTTCCTCTGGAGGCAGTGGAGGATGGTGAGGCCAGCTGGAGCCTCTTACCCGCCTGCTTCTCCTCGCTTCGGTCTTCGCTGGCTCTTGCCAGTGGTTGCTTTGGTGTGTACGACTTGCAAAAAACAGAAGGGGTCCGTTGTCCGACGGGTTCGTCATCTTGGATGGCTTTGGGTGCCGACTGTGCAGCTTTACAAAGACAGGGAAATTTTTCCAGAGGTGACTCTAGCGTTTCTGAATAGAGCAGATCAAGCCATGCAGAGTTATGGTATCGAGAAGGTCGGCTGATGCTGCGGATTTTGAGAAATGCACTTAACTGCAGGACTCCCCCATTGCAAAACGAAGGTTGCATCTTCATCTCCTTCAAATTTTTTTGCTCTTTAAGTCAGTTCCATCATGTAATCGGAGTCTGGGATTGCTTCATGGTCATGGTTACTTGTCTCTTTCGGAACTTGCAGACTCGAGGTGCATGTCAAAAATCCTCCTTTATGGCTTCAGGAGGCCTCAAGCGCCCGCAAGTGCATTTTTTGACTTCGCTTGAGTGGCCCCCCCTCTGTAAGTTATTCTTGGGCCTTTTTCAGAGGGCTGCAAGTTTCGGGTGTGTTTTGGGGCCCGAAAGGGCTATTCCCCAGGGTTCCAATCAGCCGGCGGCCTGGGGGAATGCGGTTTTGGGGGGCGTTCTGGGGCCCGATTGTGCCCAAACTTTTCAATTTTTTGACGGGTGGCACTTTGCCGTTTCCGAAGCTTTTTGTGCCCAAAAACGGGCACTGCCAGCAATCTTCATTTTTGAAGAAGAGTGGCAGTGCGCCGTTTCCGAAGCTTATTGCGCCCAAATAACGGCCACAGTCAGCCATTGTCGTCCGGCGAGCGGCTGTTCTTAAAACATGGCGGAGGACGGCGCGATGGAGCTGCTCGGGCGGCTGGCCCGGGACTTCAACGTGCGGGCGCTGGACCCTATAGGAGGCCCTAGGAAGCTTTACCAGATCGCTCACCGGGAGGTTTCCGGAGCGGGGGACCTCTTGGGCGGGTCCTGGCGCCGAAGCTTGGGGAAGAGCGCGGGAGGGGGGCGAACGACAGGCTCCAAGCGGGCCAGAACCCGCGGGAGGTGGCGACGAAGGCTTTGCCCGACAAGCGGGCGGAGACGGTGATGCAGACGGCGGAATGCGACGGGGGTGGTGGATCGGGCCATCCTAATTTTGAAGAAGGACCTGGCGGGCAAGGTGGCCCGGGAGGGTGGCGGGTGGGGCCTCGGCGACGAAAGCCAGTTCTCGGCAAACTCAACTGGGCGCGCTTCAATACCCTAGGTACCCTATGGCCAGCGACGCGGGGCACTTCCATTTCCTAGAAATCCTAGCCGGGGCCGACGATTCGAGCATCAAGAACATGCGAATCGCCGACAACGTGTGTGGAACAACACGCAGCTCATTTGCGCTTTTCTGGTGCAAAGGGTGCCGAAACACCCCTTGAGCGGCATCAGCACGCGCTCCGGCGACCTCGCGAGGTTCAGCTTCAAGAATATGCAAGCGGACCGGGTCCAGCGCATCTACATCCACCTGCTGGGCTGAGATACCAGATCGTGACGGTCTCGGGCAGCGGGGTCAGCATCCTGGACTAAGGTAAACATGAGTTTGTTTCCCTCCACCCTGACCGGGCGGATCCTGGACGACGGCGAGACCCCCCCGCCCGTCATCAGTGCGTCCGTGGAAGCATGGGGGATCACATATGTCCAACACCCACCAGGACCTCGACTTGAACAACCCCAAAAGGCAGGTCTGAAGCCTTCAGCCTTGCAACCCGGGGCCATCGAAGTTCATCAAGATTTCCACGGCAGAGCCCAGTTGCTCGCTGTGGACCGGTTTTGACTTCGGATAAGAGCCGACCGTGCGGGGCGATGAAAAGAAGATTCCTTGGAAGGCTGAAGGGGGGATAATGGAGGGCCAAGACTCCTTGGCTTCAAAACCCTCAGACCTAAGCCGCCCTATAAACTCTAATCCCAAGCTTTCGATACTTCCTAATTTTCTTCTGATAATTTGAAGTTCAGGTCCTTGGAGCTTTTTGGCTATGGGGAGCGGGTTTGTTGTCGATTCACGCTCAGCGCAGAATCCGAAGCCCAAGTTGCTCTCTTGAGGCCACGGAACCAAAATTCGGAAGCGCCTGGGCTTAGAGTGCCGCCTCTTCAAACGGGTGTATCCCGAGGCCTGGAGACCCGAAGCCTCCACCACCCCTTGCCGGAGAGCCAGAAGACATTTGCAAAAACTTGTTTGATTCCCGCGCTGTCCACGCGGGAAAGTGCCCATCATCCAGTAATGAGTTTCTCAGAGCTTCAACATGCTTTGTATGTGGTTGACGCCAGCAACTGCTACCGTCTATAACATTTATCCTTGTCTCCGTGTTCTTTCACCTGGGCTTCCGAGGCTTCTGTTCACTTCTAGGCGTCGGCGCCAAGCGCGTGACATATTGGCTTTTCTTCGGGGGCATACAGCGACCTGGTGGCCGCTTCGGCTCGCAGCGCCCCACGCCCATCCATGACGGACACTTGTTACCATCCACTTCTTACAAATAATAGACGGCAACCTGCTGAATAGAAGCCAACCAGGCGCATGATGGAGCATCCGTCAAAGCCACATGAAGTCATGCTCACTGCCGAGATTACGGCTCAGTGCTGTACAGATCCGACAGCATCAGGGCGTGGTCGGTTTTCTTGTCTCTTTGGCCTCCTAACCAGCAGAGCCAAGGCCAGCCGAGTTTGCATTGGACTTCGAAGGGTTGGGAGATTCGGAACCTGAAGATCCGGCAGCTGCCCGCGCACGCGCGCAGGCCTGGGCCAAAGCTGCCGGGCCTCAGGCCGAAGGCCGAAAGAGGTGGGGGGGGGATTCCGGTTGCACATGTCTTTTTGGCTTGCCGTTCATCGACCAGACGGCACCTTAGCTTTCAGGAAGACCCCGTGCACGTGACAAGGCCACAGAAAACATCACCATCCCAAACTGTTCCTGACGATCCCCGGAAACGAATAGAGGTCCATCTCGCAGGGGCCAGGCACGACCACGGGCAGAATGTTTGGGTGCGTGTAGACTGAGGCGCGCACGTGAGGATCAGGCTCCAGCAGCTACTACCTCATAACGAATCCCCGCGAAAAGACTTAGACCTTCTGAAGGAGTGAAAGAGAAACGGCCTCCCCCAAACAGAGGCCGGAGGCCAGGGCTCGGATGGCGACGGAGGCCCGGAGGGGCTGTTCTGCTTTTGTTTTCCCCATGGGCTTCGGGTTCAGGAAGTAGAGTTAGGGTTAAGGGTTGTCTTCTTCCATAAGTCGTGGCATATCTTCGGGTTATGAATCTTTTTGTTTGTGCCTCGTTTGAAGGCGTTGTGGACGTTTGGGCCTCCTGCTCGGGTTCGGCGTCTCGATGGAGTTGTTGCTCTTGTTTTCAGGCTTCGGAGAGCTGAGGTTGAGAAGGCCGGGCCTGTTGGAGTGCACGCGGCTTCGTGAACGGCTGCACTGAAGGTTCGCAGAGCCAACTACAGTCATGCATGGTTTCAAAACATATCTGGCGCGAGGGCGGCAGTTTGCCAGAGAAGCACACGATGCTCGCTTTGCTTGATACTGCAAGGAAGCACGCTCAACACAAATCTGGAATTTCGGGGCCGAACCAGCAAGCACAGTGGAATGAAGGCAAGGTGGCAAGAGTCTTGGCGATTCAAGCATTTCGCACGGAGCGACAGCAGGCAAGAGACAAAATCGGCCAGCCATTGCAGATCTGAGCGGATGAACTCAAAACGTCGGATATATTACGAGCGACAATCCCAACATGATCCAGTCAGATCCAGGTGTCGGAATCTGGCAACTAGAAAGAGACAAAGAAATGCTGGTTGTGTTCCGGTCTGGGCTTTGGAAGTGTAGGCTCCGGACTCCACAAGCCGGTGCTCGAGCATTCTAGCACCGCCTTTTATGCCACAGAGCAGCTGCTTTCAATCAGCATTCCCGCTCGCCAGGTTCGGGAGGAGCTGGAGCGAGTGTCCGCAGCAACATTCCGCGACATCGTCGACAGCCTTCGAGGCTGGCACATGTGCAAGAGCACCTTCAATACAAAGCGCAGTGTGGGGCTGTGGCGGTTGCTGGGAGCGGCTGTGTGCCAGGGAAAGGTATCACAGAGGAGGAACTCCAGGCATGGCAATCGGTCTTCTGTTTGAGTCTGTGTCTTCACCTGAAGTAGCGCCGCACGAAGCCCAGGGCCTGTTGCAAGAAGTTCCCACCGATGGCAGAACACCCAGTGAGGATTATGGTGTCAAGGCTTCAGTGACTAAGACTTCACAGAATCCAGGCCGATAGCCCCAAAAGTCGCAAACAGCTCAATTACCAGAATTTGTTGCCCTTGGACTCTTCTGAGTTGAAAGCAGCACTGAGGCGAGGGCCTGCTGAGCTGCCGGCAGCTCGTCCTCCGCCTCCGGAGCCGCGACACTCCCGATGCCGCCGGGCGCGCCGCGGCGAACCGCAACCTGCTGAGCCGGGCCTTCAGACACTGCTTCCCGTGTCGCCCCAGCGAGCCTGGAGAGGCCCCGGCCGGTAGCGTCCTGGGTAGCTCCAGAGGAGAGATGCCCACAACTTTGAGTTTTCAGTGTCCCGACGTTGCAAAGCTTAACTTCCCCATGCCAGAACACAACACGTAGGAAGTTCATGGTTTCACAGGTGCGAGGATGCGCCCTTTGCGTATTTAAGCATGGGGCGAGGGTTGGCATCGGTAGGCAGCTGTCTAGGTTTCCGGATCATGGACGGAGCTATCGAAATGGGCGTTGCCAAATACCTCGAAGGTTTCGCCGAGGATCTCCCAGATGAGCATTGTCAGAAGCAAGGATCGACGATTGACGTGGGGTCCGACCTTGACACATGCCAAAACATGAGGCTAGTCTCTGAAGGTGGGTTTTCTGATATAAGCTGGTATACTAGCCGGATTCCCCGTCTGGGCACCGGCAGTCGAACACCAGACTTACGAAGGCTGCAATCCTGCGAGCAGTCTGCAAGCTCGGCCAGGAAGGAGAGCCCAGGTCATACTGCTCCCCAAGGCAGAGCGAGCTCCAACCTCGACACCTTCTACGTTTCTTACACCCTAAGGCCCTAAACTCTAAACTCCTAAACGCCTCAGAACCGCAACATCCGGCCTCCCGGCATGCAGGCCTTGGCCAACGATTCCAGGAGGTGTGGAGGGCTTTGGTTTCGATTTGTTCGAAGCTTTCTGGGTGGACCATCTTCTACTAGTAGTTATGGTCTGAGTCCTCGCTGGCTTGCGTTTTATGGATCAGACAACACCCGACCGAGGACATATGAGGACGTGTCAAGGCCAAGGGGAGTATCCTAAGCTGTTCAGCTCTTCCTGCTACGATCCCCGGGACCGAGCACATGCCCCGAAGTCTTGCGCTCTGCAGATTTACCGACTGAGCGCCAAGGAACCCAGGCCCCCTTAATTGCAAGTCACTGCCGCCACCCTCCACCTCCGAATCTCCACGCAAAGCCCTCACCAATCTTGAGACTCTTTTTCCGGACATCCTCCCAAAGACACTCTTCGCACTTCTTGCTCAACCTCCCGGAAAGGTCGAAGTTCCGGGATCGGATGGCAAGTGAGGCCTGGGGCCATGGTGGGTTCCTTGCTCTTCTTCCACTGGGCTTGCGTTTCTGTCACGCGTGGGGGCGCAAGAAGCGGCTGGCAGGCGAAGGAGTACGACCTCGCAGACAAGAACGGGCTTGCAGACTTCCTAGAACATGCGGACATCCAGCTGGTGCCATGGTCTCGAGGGCGGGTGATGCAAACACCAAACCCTGCAAATTGGAACAGCATCATCTTCAGGTTGTTCAGGCATGGTGGTGTCTGCAATCCAGGTTACCGTGAGTTGGACATGAGCCGGAATCACTTTTGCTTTCGACCTAGAACGGGGCAGCTGAGTTTGCTCGTCTTGCAGCCTGCTGAGCCATCCAAGATTTTGCTTCTTGCGATGTGAAAATGCAGAGTGAACCGGAGAACAACAAGCAAGCAAGGACTGTTTCTTTCCTGCTTCTCCCGTGCCAGGGTGGTCCGGGCAAGCGGAGCATCTCCAAGGATGCTCTCCACACCATCGTCAGACACCTTAAAGGTCACAGCCCTGCCGGGTTCAGGATGTCATGTGTGGATCCTTCCTAGTGTATGTCAGGCGACCGTTTCACCGTGGACATGCTCCAGGCAGAGATTGCCAGATTGCGTGCCCAGTCTGTTGCAGAATGCGCTCGAGCGACTGGGCCAGGGCATCGTGCAAGAAGTTGTTCCCGATCGCCGGGAGCTCAGCCACAAGAGCACTGTCAGAGTCAGAGCTCTGTGTGCACTCTGTGCTTTTAGAAAGATGGTCGGTGGATGCTTCCTTGTGGAGGTGAGGGCCTGCTGAGCTGCGAGGACTTGGCACGCTGCCTCCGCCGCCCGGATCCAGCTCCGGAGCCGGAAAAGGCTGGAGCGTGAGCGTGGGGGTGAGGGTCGGGCCTGTGCAAGTTATCACCAATGCGATTGGAGTCGTGCAACGCCTGCGCCAGTCCAATCGCTACGACCTGGCTGAGAAAAAGGGTCTGGCGGACTTCCTGAAGGATGCGGACATCCGCTTGGTGCATGCCTCGCTGCAGTGTTGAACTCTGCACAGGTCTTCAACCATTGCTTCTTCCGATCGTTCCTGTTGTCCTGTTGTGCAGTACTGGTATGTGTGCCATTAGGTGTAACTGTAACGGATCAGGGCTCTGACAAGTTTCCTGCATGGAGCGATCAAGCACCCTGTGAAGGTGCCAGCCTACTTCATTTTGAAGTTGCACCAGGAAGGAGAGCGGCTGCCTCGGCGCCAGGAAGCGGAATCCGCCTATGTGGACGGTTGGACGGCACTTGTAACGCACGAGGAGGCGCGGTATCAACCTTTCGCTGATTTGCGCTGCATCCATTGGAGGCAGCCCTAAACGCATCCCTTTCCGTGTAACTATGTCCCCAGGTCCAAGCTTGGGCTGATGGCTGGGCGCCTGACGGCACTCAGATAGTCTCACTTTCCCATTGCTGGGAGTCGCGAGAGCATTGTGACCCGTACGGATACCAGGTTGCCAAGCTAGCCAAGGCTCTTACGGGCGAGGAATGGGTGTTCATCGACTATGTTTCTCTGTATCAGTTCCAGCGACTCTCCCAGCAGCAGAATGTCAGCTTCAGGCGTGCTATGCAGCACATGCATGTGCTGTACTGCCATGAGAACTCAAGCTCCCTCCGAATCGAGTCTCTGACGCCGGAAGCAGACATTGCAAAAGCCGAGACAATGCAAGAATGCCTAATAATGTATCACCACCCCACCGGCCTGGTGAAACCAGTGCCGGTCACTGAGTTGGTCAAAAACCGCACCCCTGATGCGCAGCGAGGCTGGTGTGCCGCTGAGAGGGAATGGTCCAGCACACGGACAGCCACCAACCTTTCACGTGAAGTAGATGCCCCAGAAGGCGAGAAAGGGGGAAGCGCCCCGATGGTGCCGGAGGCGTTTAAAAAGAATGTGGCACACCAACTAAAGTTCACGCACTTAGATGACGTAGAGACCGTCTGCAGATTGCAAGCGGAAGTGTACAAAGAGAAGGCAGAGATGTGCAGGAGCCTGAGGCTCGTAGATTTGGGCGCAGATGCACTCGGCATCGCCCTGTCGGCGCTCGAGCGCTACCCGGTCCTGGAGCGCCTCGGCACGAAGCAGCACCACTGCCACCGCTTGTGTCCTCCCGGCCAGACTACCGTCACTTTCAGGAGCGTGGAAATCGTGCACTGCGAGCTCAGCCCCAAGCTCCCGCTGCTGCTGAAGGCCTTCGACTGCATGGGGGCGTGTTTGCTGCGGCTCTTTGCCGGGCCCAAACTCCGTGACTTCCCACATCTTCCACCCGCTGCCTCTCTCACGCATTCGTGGATTGCGCAGTGCTTCGTGCCCACCCTTGTGCATTTTCCCGAATTCGGACGTGCTGCAGGCAGAAGCCAGCCGCAAGCCAACACCTTCTTGGCAGGTCGTGGAGGAGATCAAGCTCCGGCAGCTCCACCTGCAGCACAACGAGCTCTTGGAGGAGGGCATCCGCCAGGTCATCGAGGCCCGCAGCGAGTTGCGGATGCACGCTGCTGACATGGTGGCTTAAATTGAGCGGCGTTTAGTGAATTTGTGTGTGCACTGCGGCTTCAATCACACGACGATGCAGGCAATCAAGCAGAATCGCACCCTGAAGCAGCTGAGCCTTGGGGGAACCAAGATCGCGGAGGAAGGCGCTTTCGCCCTTGTTGAGGCTGGCGGCTAAGCTCGCCACCACCCCAAGGCATCTGTCAATCGTCTGTTCCCCCAACCTGCAGCTCGTGAGCAAGAGCCCTAAACCCTGGAGTCTGGTGCAGGCGCTCCGGGTGAGCGGGGTGAGCGGGGTCGAAGTCCAGCTCGATCTGAACGACAGCGATTTGGGCAAGGCCGCCGTGGCAGTGGCCGGGGCTGTCCGGGCCGGTCAGGCGGGGTGATGCGAGATCCCGACGTTTTTGCTTCCCTCACTTTCTTTCACATCTTCCACTCTTCCCATCTTCTCTGGCTGTCGCTGCGGCTGCCTTTGCTTCAGGTGAAGCAGGGCATCGTCATCCACCCCGGGGTAGAGTTCTTGTGCATGTTGAAGGCTCGCGGATTCTGTGAAAGCGTGGCAAGTTCCTTCATTCCTTCGGGCGGGCCCCAAGTAGAAGTCGACCGCACGGCGGGCCCCGCGGCCCTGCATCTGGAACTTCGTGAGAGCCGATCAAGTTGAGGCCTTAGCAAGGGCAAAGTGTCTTCCAATGACGCAGCGACTTCCCAAGCCTGGAAGCCGGAAGCCGAATTTGGACCAAGCACCACCCGATCTGCGGCCTTCAAAACAAACCACCGCTCCGTTCCCTGAGCGCACAACGCGTGCTGTAGGAGGGGGAGGGTCGGGGGCTCTTCGGGCAGCGCCGCCGCCGCCGCCGCCGCACAGGACGAGAAATTCCACGAGGTGGCAGAAAGGCAGATGCTCGAGCTCGATTTCAGCTTCGGCTGGCGGCTCAGCTCCGGGAGCCGAGGCGACGGGCGCCCCCGAAACCCGGAGCTCCTGGAGCGTTTACCCTGGGCTTTTCCGCATCTGCCGGCGCTGCGAGACCTCCGGCTCGACCTCAGAGACGGCAGCGGCCTCGGCGGGTTCTCTGCACCGCTCCGGCTCGCGGTGTCTTCTGCCGCCCAGGGCTTCTTGGCGCTGACGGGCTCCGGGCCCTGGCCTTGGGCCTCCGGCAGCAACAGGAGCTGGAGGAGCTGACGTTGCGGTTGCAGAATAACTCCCTGGGCTGGGGGCCCAAGCTTCCAGTATCGCAGTTTCATCCAGGTCTCTGCTCTTCACATCAGTTCGTTCCGATTGATATCTGCAGAGGCTTTTTTGGTGTTGCCGCATGTAGCCGGCGATGAAGTTCCAAAACCCAGCCCATCCCAGCCTTGCGCCCGAACTGACTCGACTCCCGTCAGTTTCCTCCACGACTCTTGGAGCCAAAGCAGCACTTTTGAGCAGTCACTGCACGGCCGCCGGGGCACCGAGGCCCCGATGACGTGAATGACTTGGCCTCCGCCCTCGCCGAGCTCAAGAAGCTGAAGGCGCTCAAGTTGATCCTGTCCGACAACGAGATCGGCCCGGGGCCTCGGAGGGCGCTCGGACCCCGAAGAAACGGCCGCAACTGCACGTGACTGTGGACAGATCCGCCCTGAGCGACCGGGGGGCCTGCTTCAGGTTTGGGGCTCCTGAGAAGTCTGAGGCGCTGCGGGCGCTGCAGCGCTCGCTGATGGCCTGCAGCGCCTGCCGCAGCTGACGAAGCTCGTGGTTGATCTGTCTAATAACAAGCTCAGCTCGGGCCTCGGAGAGATGCTGCGGGTGCGACCCGGGCACCATGTCGTCCTCCGGTTGAGTGTGGGTGTTGCGCTTTTGCTTGTCATTCTCTGAAGGATCGGGTGGGTGGGAAGTGCTTGCGGAGGGCTCTTTCGTGGGAGATGCTGCCCAGTGCAAGATGCTTCACCTTGGAGCCTGCTCTCTCTGGCCAAGGCCCAGCGGGCGCACAAGCTTGGGTGCAGAGCATGCAGAACCTACACCAACTGACGGCGCTCCACGTTGATCTGAGATGTATCCTTCTCAGCCCGGACCTCGGAGAGATGCTGCGGAGAGGAGACTCGGGGGTTCGGGTCGTCCTCCGGCGCGTGCTGCTCCACAGAGTCTCTCGCAAACGCCCTTCCGACTTTAGTTGAGCTTTGACGTCTCGCCCTTGTCAAACCATCCCCAGGCACGGAGGAAGAGAAGAAGCTTCGCACCACCTTCGATGGGCTGGTTGGGGAGGAGAAGGTGCTCTACCTCTGATCCGAGGCCCCGGGCCCGGAGTGCGGTCGCGAATTTTTGGAGACGTTGGAGGGCTCCGAGACTTTTGGGAGGCCTCGGTCTCGGCAGCGGCCGCGACTTTTCGATTCCTGGAGTCGCTTCGTCGCGCTGCTGCCGGAAAAGCGGAGGAGGGATCGCCGGTTCGCCTTCCTGGGGAGTCCGAACAACTTGCAAGCTTGCCGAGCTTTCTTGGAGTGCCGGGGTCAAGTCGACACTTAGTGAATGTAAAACTTGATGTAAAGCATCTGAGCCAAATAGATCTACTTGACACCAAAACCCGAAATCCAATTTGGGTACGTGCCATGCCTCGCCAAATTGGATCACCGCGGGATGCGCAAACACTTGGACGGTGTGAAGAGCTTGCGGAGGACCCAGGCGCTTATACACAAAAATTGCTTCATGCATTTCCCGTGGAGCGTCTGCGTGTTGTTGGGTTGCTAGTCTTTTGGGTAAGCAGGCCAAATTTTCAGCACAGGTTTATTCCGAGATTTGCATTTTACCTTCTTGCGTTGGATCTTGTGTTGCTTCACTCTGTTTCTGAGAGGGTCGTGTTCATCCCACGCCGCATGCCGAAGCTGGAACTCAGGCCGAGGGGACGAGGAGAAGGACTCCTTCGTGCCACGGGTCCGTGGTGTGGGAACCAAAGAAAACGATCTGCCCTGCTGTTCGGCCGGATTTGTTTGTTGCTTTCTCATGACTCGTGGCTGCATTCTAACGCTTTTTCTTCTTGCACTTATGCCACTTGTTTGGCCTTCTTTCAAGCTGCCCGTTTAATCTCCTTGAGAGTCTACGGGGCATCAAGAATTTGTGAAGTCATGGTGCCAGGTTTGTATCATTTGGAAACGAGCTTGGTGTTCTTTGTGGTCGTCGTCGTAGCCGTCGTGGTAACAGCAGCTGCAGCAACAGCAGCAGCAGCAGCAGTAGCAGTGTAGGACTGGGAGTGGGGGCAGGAGTAAGAGCAGGAGTAGGAGCAGGAGTAGGAGTCGGATCAGGATTAGGACCGGAGGAGCAGGAGGAGGAGGAGGAGGAGGAGGAGGAGGAGGAGGAGCAGGAGCGCGAGCAGCAATAGGTGCAGCAGGAGCAGCAGGACGACTGGCAGCAGCAGTCGCTGTTGTCGCGTCGGATTGCCGTGTCTTGATAGCTTTGTAGCCGTAGCAACATGTACTAGCAGGTGAGCAAACATAGCACCATCATTGACGGTGCTTGTGCTGAGAGTTGTGACATCTTGAAGCAGTTTGCCGAGAAGACACGTGCCAGCTACTGGTTGTTGAACAGGCCACGAAGAACAACAAAGGGTTTGGAGACAAGGAAGCAACCGTACGAAGACCAAGACCGACGTCACAAGCGCAGATACTTGCACCGTTACGAGTACTTACACCCTAAAACCAAGACTTTAAACCCAAGCTATATTTTGAGTTTCCGAGAATTGGGGGTACCTGTCCTTATAATAAGGATCCTACTACTTAGGGTAGTATATGAGGATCCCCTATTTTCGGAAACTCCCAAACCCTAAACCCTAAACCCTTAATAGAACCCTATAGATCCCTTAACGGAGCCCTTAAAGGATCGCTTTAAAGGGACCCTAAGGGCTCGCCCTGTTTTCGGAAACTCCTAAACCCTAAACCCTAAACCCTAAACCCTTAATAGAACCCTTCAGATCCCTTAACGGAGCCCTTAAAGGAACCCTTTAAAGGGACCCTAAGGGCTCCCCCTGTTTTCAGAAACTCCCAAACCCTAAACCCTAAACCCTTAATAGAATCTTATAGATCCCTTAACGGAGCCCTTAAAGGATCCCTTTAAAGGGACCCTAAGGGCTCCCCCTATTTTCGGAACCTCCCATGTCTTGAGTTTGCTTGTCATTCTAAGGACCCTCGTCGGCCTTTGCACTGCAGTCCTTCTGAAGTCTGACATCCTGGGTGAGTGGTCTCGCCCCATGGCACATCTATCTGGGAGTTTCCGAAAATTAGGCGCACCTTATCTTGGGGTCCTTATAATAGGGTTCCTGCTATTTAGGGTACTATATCAGGGTCCCCTATTTTCGGAGCCCCCCATCTATCTATGTCTATCTATGCTGTAAAGTCTAGTCTGTAGTGCGACACTGTATATTGATACATGGTTTGGTGTATTCGGAGTGTCAAAGGTTCACGGGATTCGTGGAAGCACGGGAGGCTGTAATGCCATGCTGAGTGTTTGATGAGAGAACGGCGAGCTGGCTATCTAAATGATCGGCAGCTTTTGCCGTTGCGGCATCTACCGTTTGCGGTGTAGTCAACCTGTGCATCCTGGGTCACTTAGGCAAGAAATGGGGGTTTCCGAAATTAGGGGGCTCATATATAGTACCCTAAAACAGCAGGATCCTTATTTTAAGGACCCCAAAATAGGCTACTCCAAATTTTCAGAAACTCCAAAATGAAAGCTGCACCCAAACTTCAAAGCCTCCGGGCTCAAGTCCCGTGGGCCCCAGGAGACGTCGCGAAGGTGGAGGGCGGCGAAACAACCTCTGCGCCCCTGGGCCGGGCTCTTCTAAAAGGATTCCTCCAGCGTGGTCCGTGGGAGTGAGCTTTTCACATCCCCGGGGTTTTTGGAGGTTCCTAAACCCTAAGCCCCTTCGAAGAGCCTTCGGGGCAAAGATGGTCTCGAACTTATGGCCTTGGGGAAACACCTCATGGCTGTGGCAGTCGCGGCCTCCGAAGTCCCGGCCTCTTGCCAAGAGCGCGAGAAGGAAGGATGAAAATGGTTCAGGGGTTTACTGTGTTCGGGTTTTAGAGTTCTGTAGGGTGGGTTTGCTGTTTAATTTGTTTGGGTTTTAGAGTTCTGTAGGGTGGGTGTGCTGTTTGCTGTGTTCGGCTTTTAGAGTTCTGTAGGGTTTTCTGGTTTAGGCTTGAGCTTGAGGGTCTGGTTGTGACTTCGGTTCACGAAGCCTTCAGCCGCAAAGCTCTTTGAAAAGCAAGGCACGGCGATCCCTCAAATCCCCAAAAGCCAAAGCAAGGAAAGAATCTACAACTTTTCGGTTGACCATGCTCCTTGCATGAACGAGATGCCGCGCATCAAGATCGTCATGCTGAAAGTTATCGTCACTATTGCTGCCACAACCATCATGACTCTTTCCTTCCACCTCCACCGCCGCAGCCGCCGGCACCATCCCTAAGATGACCAGCTGCATCATCATCCTCCTCCTCATTCTCGTCGTCAGCGTCCTGTGTTGTCATCATGCACATCTGCGTCGTCATGACCATCGTTGTCCGTACCATCGCCGTCACCAGCCACAGAAAACACACATTGTAAGGCCTTTATACAAGTAAACCCTGACTCCGTGGCAGTAACCTCCAAACATGTTAGAGGGTCTGAATCCTCACCCCGGCAAGAGGGAAGATAAGATGGGTTGGTGGTGTCAAGCGGGGCGGTCCAGAAATCATGTGGCGATACGGTTCAGGTTGAAGCTCGGAGTTTCATATTTAAGGTTTAGGGTTTAGGGGTTTAGGGTTTAAGGTTCAGGGTTTAGGGGTGCGAGATTCGCAGCGCAAGCTCCTGTAGCTTCTCTGGAAGCTTCACGTGCAGAGGCTCGAGGACTTCATCGAGGGGAGTCAAAATCTTACTTCAGGTTTGCGCTTGTCAGTGACGGTTTTGGCCAGGGTTCAGGGGTTTCAAGCTTCGGGCTTTCGGGTATTCCCGGATGCCGGGTTCTGCTTGAGGGGGTTCCGGAGCTCACGGCCCCACTCGAAGCTCACAGCCCCTCACCGCCCGATGCTCACTGCAGCAGTTTTCCATCCTCTTCACGGTTCCAGTACTTGGAGGTTAATGGGTAGTATGGGTAGTTACAAGTGGGGTTGTAAGTCCCCTAATATGGGTTGTAATTATGTATGGTCACCCTACTTATAACCCCACTTTTATCTACCCACGAACCTCCAAGTAGTGTCCCAAAAAATCGAATAAGGACACCAGGCGCTAAGTACCCTCATGGCCAGTGTCTTGCAGTCTTTGGCTCAATTTTTTCCGTCCGGGCCAGCCTGCACAGCGCGCTGGCGACGTGGCTGCCCTTCAGATCTTCCAAAAGAGCCCAATACCCCTTAATTAAGGAATATGGCTTAACTCATAATATGAAGCCCCTTATAATTTAAGGTATATTGCTTAGTTAAGGGGTATTGGGCTCTCTGGGTTCCCAAAGCTCCCGCTCTGAAGACTCGAAGACAGCAGTCTAACAACTATGCCTAGGTTCGGCCTAGATCACATCATGCCAAAACTGTCAACAACGATCGCTTCCAGTGTGATGCATTCTAGGCTCCAGTAAACTATACTAGACCGGGCCATTTCCTGCCCGCCTTGGCTGTCCTTTGCAGCCCAAAGCCAAATCCTCAATCTGCGATGAAGATTTCCCCAATCTATCACCCGAAGCATGACAGCACCAAGGGCTTAAGGTCAGAGTCGGGAGGTTCCGAAGTTTAAGAGAGAGCATGTGTGACACGTTCTCGTGAACGAGAGCTCTACGATGTTGTTTGTGTCGTTGCATGGATGGTGCTTGCCTCAAATCGACCACCGAGCATAGCACATCATCCTCTTCAGTCGGTGTTATGACAGTCTTAAAGCGACTCCCGCATCTCCTACTCCCTAAACCCTAAACCCCAAACCCTAAACCCCAAACCCTGAACCCCAAACCCGAAACCCCAAACCCTAAGCCCTAAACCCGAAACCCCAAACCCCAAACCCTAAGCCCTAAACCCTAAACCCTGAAACGGGCACAGACACCAGCCTGCGAGCCAATGTGCAAGCTACGCAGATCTGAGAGACATGGCCACCAGTATCCTTCCTATGACGATTAGGCTTGTCATTGCTAATACTGCTATTCTGACCGTTACTATTTCTAGTACTATTTCTATTTCCATTAGTATTCAGTATTCGTATTGAATTAGCATTACTAGTACTATTGCCACTTCTATTACTCTTTGAAACCATGTGCAGTCCGAGGTTCGGATGACCATGGCATCTGCAGGCGAGCTTCCGGGCCGGGGGTTCCCAGAGAGCCCAATATCCCTGCATCCAGGAATATAACTCAAATCATAGTATGGGAGTTTCCGAAAAGAAGGGGTACCTTATTTGGGGCTGTTTAGGGTACTATATTGGGGTCCCTTACTTCGGAAACTCCCATATGAAGCCCCCAATCATTCAAGGTATAGTCCTTCATTAAGGGGTATTGGGCTCTTGGGGTTCTTTACTAGCTTGCAACTGGTAGTGCTAGAATAATTATCCTCAGCCCGAAGCCCTCAACCCTCAACACTAGGCTGGTATTGAATCATGTGTCATGCTTGTTGCTGCTGTTCTTGTTGGTGCTCTTGCTGCTGTTCTAGTGCTATTGTCGCAAGTGGTTCTTGCTGGTATTATCGCACTGTTGGCTGCTGCTGCGACTGATGTTTCTGTCGTTGTTGTTGGTGTTTTCTTGGTGGTGGTGTTGCAGTCTTTCGTTCTTCTCGTTCTTCCTCCGGTTGTTGCAGCGGATGTTGTTGCCAACAATTCTGACTGCTGTTACACGTCTAGTTGGGTCAAGGTTCCTTTTGCTGTTGGGAGCCTCCACATACATCTTTGCGGCCAATTCGCTGCAGCACGTCCCAAAGCCATTTTTCTAATGCCGGCCCGTCCTTAATA